AGCTATCACCAACTTCTGGATCGGCAATTCGTGCAACTTAAGGACTCTTTGCTCGAGCAGACGACTCTTTAGCTCTCTTGGCCGTAACTCGCAACATTAAGTCAGCTCCGTGCCTGACTGTTCGTGGCTTTGCAGACGAGCCGTGATTGCTAGACAAATGTACAGTCCTCTCAGTTTGATCCCAGGATCAACACAAGCAACTCAAACCCTGCTTCTCAACAGCCTCCTCACAGGGTAGATCATGGGTTTTAGACAGTTCGAGCGGATACCTGAGCAGAATATCCCAGACCTCCTGCATGCCATTGATCTTCTTACTGTTCGTGCTGACGAGGCGCTTGATCCTGGCAGATGAAGAAGCAACTCCCATAGGGACATTCTCAACAAATGAGATCCCATTATGGAAGACTTCCTTGTGGAAGAATAAGAAAGCTTGGTAGAGGACTTCTCCTGCTCAATTGGCAGATCATCTAGGTCCGAGCCATGCAGCTCCCATCTTTCAACATCTTCGGCTGGGGGTAGACCATCAGCCTCCTTCTGATGTTCACTCAGCAACCAGCGTAATCCACAGAACCTGGCAAAGATGTTCAAAACTTGATGAACATTGATCGTGTTCGGGCCGAGATCGAGCTTCTTGTGGATGTCATTTTCTACAAGCAGAAGACAGAAGTCAGTCAAACACACAGCAAAAAATTCCATGGCTACTGTAGCAGATCAAAGGAATGCAACTTACCATCACAGTAGGTGTGAGGAACGAGCAGACCGTCGCCAACCTCCCCTACCCATCTGCTGCTGACTTCCAACATGTCCGTGCTCCACACATGATCGCCTTGACTCATACTGTTTCTAGTCCGTGACACAAAAAGAAGGAATTGAAGCAGTTTGGATCAACCACAAATAAGCCGACCCAAACTGCCACCTGCTCCAGCAGCAGGCCGCCTTGCCTCCAACTTAGTTACAGCTGGACAACCCAAGTTAAAAGACCAAAGTGGCAAGTCAAAGACCTTCTCCACACAAGAGCCCAAATCAAAGAAGAAAGCCCAGTTACAGCTGGACAGCTCAAGTGAAAAGACCAAAGTGGCAAGTCAAAGACCTCCTCCACGTAGGAGCCCAAATCAAAGAAAGAAGCCCAGTTACAGCTGGACAGCTCAACAGATAATTCACATCTCCTACATGCCGTCACTAGCCATGCAGAAGCTGGGGGGGCATTTGTGGGAACCAATTAAATCAAAACCCTAGGTCAAATAATTCCTTCCATTTGGGGATTATTTGACCTGATTGGGAATTACTCAACCTAATTGGAAGTTACTCAATTTAATTAGGGGTTACCCAATTAAATTGATAATTACCTAATTAAATTGAGATTTGATTTGATACCTACCACAATTAGGGATTTGATTTACCCTAATAAATCAAATTCCTAATTAATCAAATCAATGCCAAATTAGAGATGAATAATTCCTTACCAACTACGGAATTATTTCTCTGAAACCCTAGCCTCCGAGACCACTATAAAAAGATGGCCACACACAAGAGTGAAGGTACGTCTAAATTCCTATTGAAACTCTGCAGAAATCATTTCTCCAAAACCCTAGCCACCATATTTTTTCTTTCTCTGACACAAGGATCCGGCCACCACACACGGCTCTGGTCACCCGATTTTTCTTAAAATACCCTAACTTAGGCATCGGAGGGATTTTGGCCAACACCCCCCGGGTGTGGTCCTTTTACCCTGATTTATTTTGCAGGGAGAAAGAGAAGTGGAGAAGACGAAGGAATCTTAGACGAATATTCTAGTGGGACGAAATTTACTCTCACAACGGGCATAAGAGAGTATCTATCTTCCTCAGCACGCTTTTGATTTTGAAGTTCCATTGATCCAGATGGGGGAGTAATGCCACCTCAAAGGAGTCCATAGCTAATAAAAACACATCTAATACATGGAGGAGTAATGCCACCTCTGCAGGTTTCAATGCACCTGAATCATATAACCAAAATAGCTTTCAGTGATCGACTAGTGGCTAGGTAAAGAAAATAATGTTGGGAAGAAAGAGTAATAAAAGGAGTAATGCTAGGCTTACCACATTTTTCATACCACAATTGTACCACCTCTCTAATAGAGGTGGGCCCCATTGTATTGGTGGGCTCCACCTCTATTAGAGAGGTGGTACAATTGTGGTATGAAAAATGTGGTAAATCTAGCATTTTCCTAATAAAAGTCTATGCAAATTGATCTGAATCTATAATAAAAGTTTATACAAAAGTATGGAAGTCTATAATAAAAGTTTAAAAAAGTTTATTAAAAATCCGGGTAAAACCTATAGGAGTTATACAATTCCAGGAAATCTGTCACTTAAAAAAAATCTTTCAAAATCTTATACAATCCTAATTGAATACACCCGCTTTAAATTATTTTTAAACAACTTAATAAAATTACGGACTTAAAGTTTGAGCATAAAGAGTTTGGGGGAAAAAACGATTTGAATTGGAGAAAACCCAAATAGTTACTTCTTGAGGGAATATTTGGGTTTAGGGCCAAATAGGTTGGAAGAGCCCTAATCCATCGCTACAGCTATCTGGGCCGCTCCATATTTTCACACCGAGCCCATTATCGCACCACGATCTTCCTTCGTCGAAATCCCTAGGTTCCTCCGTTGTCGTTTTTTCCAGTTGAACCAGGCCGACCTGCCCTCCCATCTCTTCTTCGTTGTCGTTGTGAAAAACGGGTACGCTAAGGTACTATAAGGTTGACGTTGAACTCGACTCACAGTGTGTCTGTAGGGTTTTGCAAGCTCTATGAGCATGTCTCTCCCACCCGTAGAGCGTGCATACGTTAGAGAGGACTGCGTTCGTGAATGGAAGAATGGAACCTCTAATTTCAAGCTCGCAGACCCCGTTCCCATGCTTCGATTCCTCTACGAGCTCTGCTCCACCATGGTCAGCTCAAGATGCCCCCTTTTCTCTTTCAATATGATTTTTAAGCAATTGTTAAGGGTTTTGGATTGAATTTTGTGTGTTTGATTGTTAGGTTTCTGGGGAATTGCCATTGCAGAAGTGTAAAGCAGCGTTGGATTCAGTTGAGTTCTCCGATAAGGTTTCGGACGAAGAGTTGGCTTCCAGTTTTGCGGATATTGTCACCCAATTGTCTCAAGATGTGAGTTGTTTATTTTTTTGCTTGAAGTGTGTTAGTTTTTCTTTTAAAGAATGAAATTGGATGAAGAACTTTGGATCTTGAACAATAGTTTAAATCCTTAGGGAGCTGAATCCTAATATAAAGGGAGCCTACCGCTATATGTGATATCGATGGGATTAATTTAGGGGTGAGTGTTTGTGAATAGCAGGAACAAACGTGCCACAAAACCACTACACTTGAAATTATTTTTTGCATTTGATTGTCGTAACAACGTGTGGTGCAATTATGATCAGAAGCCTCTTTCTTGAAATGGGCTTTTGATGGCTTCCTTTTTAAGCAGGCAAGTTCTAGTAGCTTTAGTTTCAAGTGATTCTTACCCGTAGGTATCATTCCATTGTTGTCTTTTTAGTATTAAATAGTACAATACGGTTTAGCAGAACCAGTGGATACAATTTGCAGCCCTATTCACTACAAGTTTTGCTTGTACTTCAAACTTTTGATTGAGAAATTTGGTCTACACTATATTAGTGTCTTATGTAATCTCTTGAGATTTGTTTAAGTTGGCCACAAATGAGGTTGGTGTGGTAGATTTTGTCTGTATTCCTCCTACTATGTGTGTGGGATCACTTGCAGTGCTTCTATAAAATATTCTTTTTGAAATGTATTGTTTCCGTAAATCTTAAAGCTGGGATTGTGCTGGAGAGAAGCATGAGTTTTGTTTAGAAATTGAAAACAACTTCTGTTGGCTGTTTTCCTACTTCATTTGTGGTATCGCTTATGGTGCTCTTGTAACATTTCCCTTTTAGAGTGGACTTCTTTCTGTAAACTCTGAGATTGTTCACTTAATGAATGGATGGGGATGTATAGTTTTGATGTCATTTTAATTGGATGCTAGTGCTTGACCTTCAGATGTCTGGATGCACATCTTGATATTATTTTGATGCTTTAATGTCATTGATCCTCAGTATCATTTGTAGGAGAAATTGTTGCAAATGGTTGATAATAACAAGTAGTATTACGAGAGGGTTGTGGTTGCATGGGTGCAATTCGTCTGTCTTATAAATAAACTTTGTTGGAAAAGCAAGGGTAAACTATTGAAAAAGGGGGCTTTGAGAAAGCAACTATGAGGAAGTTGGATTTTTAATGGTTTCTGCAAGCTACTGCATGTGTGGGTTCTGCTTAATTGTTTGGAGATAACGATTTTGGTGTTCCACTGTTGCCTTTTGATTTTTTGTTTTTGTTTTTATGGCATATTATGTTTAAGCTTAATGTAATCATTTGTTTAATCAATGACCCACTAATATATGATGTTTATCTGGCTGTTCTTGCTGACATGTGGAAGTTCACTTAATTTGCAGATTAGAATGCCTGGAGAGCATCGTGCTCGTCTTATAAAATTGGTTAGTACTTGGTTAAAAGGCACTACATTCGAAACAGGAGTCTTGTACTTTATTGATGTCCATTGTCTTCTTCACTATGCATATTGGTTGTTGGAGCATCTTTTCTATTTGTCCACCCTGCCCTTTCCATTTCTGTTTGTGATTTTATCTAGATTTTTCTGAGCCTGGTTACTTATTGTTTAGTTGTTTTCTGTTTCTCAGGCTAAATGGTTGGTGGAATCTTCCTTAGTTCCATTGAGACTTTTCCAGGAACGCTGTGAGGTGAACACTTATACTTGTCCTAGTTTACCTGATGGTTATCTGGTCATGGTTTTTTCTTCGTTGGCTCTGTTTTCAATCTTCTTGTATGAAAAAGAACTTATGCATATATACTTCACAAATTGTAGGAAGAATTTTTGTGGGAGGCTGAAATGATCAAGATAAAGGCTCAGGAATTGAAGAGTAAAGAGGTAAGAAGATTATTAGTGTGTAGCTATGTGCTCATATGATGGTGGCCTTGCCTAAAGTATGAACCGACTTTGTGTTGTAATTGTACTTTTTAACAGTATCATCCTGACATGAGTTTGTCCAAATAGAATCTTGCATGCCCTTGGTGAACTTTTAATTTATTTTTATCTGGTAAAAAATCCCTGTTGATGTCAATTCTATATGCTTTATAATGTACTATTTATATGTTTTCTTTGTCAATTGTTAATATCATTAGGTGTACATTAACGTTAGAGTCAACCTGTGCAACTGATTGTAATAGGGAGATCTAAATGCAATAGTTTGTTTCAACAAAGTCAGGCTTGGAATTGTGTATATGACGTGCATGGTTCCTAACAAAATATGGCAAGCATAAGTTTGCTATGAAAAGGATCTTATAGAAAACAAAGGTTTAGCATGAAATAATCAATATGTTGAAGCAGGAATCTTGAATACTATCTAAAGTTGATGTGCATGCTTTTAATTTCAGGTCAGAGTAAACACCCGTCTTCTATATCAGCAAACAAAGTTTAACCTTCTACGAGAAGAGAGCGAGGGCTATGCCAAGCTAGTAAGATTATTATTGATAATATACTTTGGAAGTTTGTTCAATGTGCTACACTAATGGGAATATTTTCCTTCCAGTTTTGTTTCATAACAAGGGATATATAATTTTTCTTTTACTTTGCTTGTTCCAAATGCCTGGCAGTTTTATTAATGTCTTTTTGGAAAAAAAAAAAGAGACATTTGTCTTGTTAATTCTTTTGCTGGTATTTAGCTTTTACGTGCCCGCGTTTTATTCTTGGTATGGAACTTTTATTTTATCAATTGATTCAACTCATTGTTTCCAAGTTAAAAATCATCATAAGTTCAGAGTTTATAGTATACATAAGTTTAATTTTCATGCAACCAAATAAATCTTAATTCCTGTTAATTATAGTTTTACTGAAAGAAATCCACTATTTGATGAGTTTGAGTGCAGTTGCTTTCAGGATCTCCATAAACTAGACTACTGCCTTTAGGCATTGTATGTAGTTGTGAATCTAGTGATTAGATTTGGGACTTCAGGTTGGAGGTTTAGCATCACCTTCGAATTTATAGATTGAATCTTGATAAACTACATGTATCTAGAAGTGTGTAGTTGGTAGTCTGTGTACTATCTCCATATATATGATTGGAGAGATATAACTGTTCTGAGTTTCCACATAAGCTAGGTAATATGTTTATTTAGTTAAAGTCTGGTTTTACTGAGTTGGCCATCGGATTTTTGCTTGGTAAGTCATCACGTTTGCAACTTCATGAATGAATGCATTGCAAATGGGTAAGACTTCAATTTTTTAAAAACAATTTTTATTCTACTTTTTTAACTTTCTGATTCAATCATTGTTGCAACCATACGATGTTATGCAGAGAAAATGTTCTATTGTATTACATTTCCTTTTTACTTCTGTTTCAACATCATGGGAGAAGTCCTCGTATGTATTCTTTTTTATATTTTGTGACTCATGTTATAGTTGGTTGGATTTAGCTTAAGGTACTTTGTTAGCAGTGTGTTTTACCATTTTGTTTGCTTCCATGGTGAAGTCACATTTAAGTTGTCACTTTTTCTTCCCTTTTATGAATATAAAGTTTGTCGTGTCCTCTCTATCTAATGAGGGACATCTTGGTTGAAGCATGCGGTTTAATTTCAGTAGGTTTTAGACATGTAATTATGTATATTTATTGCCTTGTTTATTTGTAGGTTACCCTTCTTTGCCAAAACTCAGAAACTTCATCACACAATGCAGCAGCAACAATAGGCATTATAAAGGTTTAGCTTTGATATATTTTTCTCTACTCTTTTTTCTTCTATATACTTTTCATCTTCCTGATTAGACTGATCCTTGCAGTCATTAATTGGACATTTTGATCTGGATCCAAATCATGTCTTTGATATTGTAAGTTGTCGCTATTTACCTTATTTGTACTTATTTTTCTGTACAGCCTGTATTTTCTTTTTGGACAATGCTTGGATCCTGATGCATCACGAGGAACTGTTTGTGTTTGCTTCAACTTTTTTTATTTTATATTTCAATTGTGGACACATGTCCACTACTAGATGAGTCACATCTCCATATAAGGAGGGGCTCCTCCTGATCCTGATGCATCAGGAGCCAAGTATTGTCTTTTTCTATGCTTTTACTAAGAATTTGATGTTCTATGATTCACTATTTTCTCTTCAATACTTTTCTTTGATTAGGTTTTGGAGTGCTTTGAACTTCAGCCAGATAGTAATGTATTTTTGGAGCTGATACCAATTTTTCCGAAGGTAAGGATATTCTATTTACCAACTTAAACTAGTGTGCTATATTTTGATAATTTTGATTTAACTCACTACTTCATCATCTTTTGCAGTCTCATGCTTCACAAATCCTTGGTTTTAAATTTCAATATTATCAGCGTTTGGAAGTAAATAGTCCGGTGCCATTTGGACTTTATAAGCTTACAGCTTTGTTGGTGAAGGAGGACTTTATTGATCTTGATAGCATGTGAGTTTTCCTTTGGTGATTTTTGTATTTGTTGGGATTTTTAGTTGAGTTTAATTATTTTGATTCAATCATGGATACTGTTTCCTCTTGGAACGGATGAAGTTGAAAGTTGAAAGGGCAATGTCATTGCCCGTCATGTTGGACCATTGACTTAGCACCCACAAGCATGTGTCTATTTAGGTAAGCGCAAGGGCAGACTAGTGTGCTGTACATTCTGAGATCATCATGGATAGTACAAGATTCATGGGTTTCTGTGGTGCCACTATGGGCCATTTGTGACTCTCTTGGTGTAGCTTGGATTCAGCCTTACTCATAATTACATCGTTAGCTGAGATGCATGGTAATTTCTATTGAAAGGCTAGTGACTATTAAATTTCATAGCCTGCCGGCAATCACTATGCTTATCTAGCAACCACACTTATGGTTGAGTCTGTGTGCCTTGTCATGGGCAGTTTCATAGTGCTTAAGTACAGTAGCTAGTAAGCTTAAAGATTGGCTTGCAAATGTAGAGTCCTTGGGGAGTGTGGTGAGACACATCTTGCTTTGGGATCAATGACTCTAATATTGAGGGAGTGTGGTGCTAACTTGAACTTGATTTTGGTAATTGTGTGCATGATGCACTCCTAAGGTGCGTAAACTGCGTTTACAGTTTTTTGATTGAAACCTTAACAATGATCAAACCTAAGGATGTGACAAGTTCTGGTACTGTGCTTGAATACCGTGAGGCAATTGCATAATAGCATGAGTGCAAGATTTATAATGAATATTTCTTTGTGGTAAATACTAGATGGAGCTACAGGAGGATTAAATTACATGTAAACCACTGCTGGAGTCTGGAATTAGTTCTTGTTTATACCTTTGACATCTTTTAATTGTGGTTGGTTTATTTATATATGTTTTCTTGTCATTTTTATATGTGCTGTTATGCTGTTCATTATCTGCCCATGTATTCCGTTTCCTTGATGATCTGAATTAGAGTTCTATTTGTGCTGGGCCTCCTGGTGATATATTTCATTAATGTCTTTGACAGATATGCTCATCTACTTCCCAAGGATGATGAAGCATTTGAACATTATAGTGCTTTCTCTTCCAAGCGACTTGATGAGGTATAACTTTATTATATGTATAAAATATGGGTTATAACTTTGTTATCTGATCTGTAACATCTGTTATTGCGGGAGTTTTTCTGCATGGTTACTAATGTTTGAGGCGACAACTTTTTTCCATTGCATATGCTATGTTTGAATTGTATGTTATGTGATGTGTAACATCTGTTATCATGGGAGTTTTTCTGCCTGTTTACTAATGTATGAGGCTACAACTTATTTCCATTGCACATGCTATGTTTCAATTGTATGTTATGTGCTTCCCTTTCCCAGCCTATGGATTTTAGGGCATTGGTGGACAAGAAAATTGTGTATATTGTGTCAGGTGGATGCTATGTTATTCGATCATACCTGATTTTTCTGTAGAGAGCGTTTCAAGTATATTTCTTTTAGTTATGGTAGCAGCTTTAGTTGCTTACGCCTTCAAAGTCTGTTTACTCTTATATGAAAGGCTATGCTTTCCATTTTTACTTGTATATCTGCGAATATTTGCAGGCTAACAAAATTGGTAAAATAAATCTTGCTGCTACCGGGAAGGATCTCATGGATGATGAGAAACAAGGAGACGTGACAATAGACCTCTTTGCTGCTCTAGACATGGAAACAGAGGCAGTTGGTGAGCGGTCTACAGAGTGCGAAAATAATCAAACTTTGGGCTTGCTCACTGGTTTTCTTTCTGTAAATGACTGGTATGTTTGCTTGTACTTGGGATCTTCTGGTTCCCAGCCTTTCCCCCTTAATGATTTCTGAGTTCTGTACTTATTTCTTCGTTTCTTGTTTACACTGGTTATTACTCTATAAGTGATTGCTGCTTGCTTAAATTGGTAATAGAGCTCTTGAACTGGTTGCTTCCATGTATGCAATGTCCTTTTTTGAGCCAGTTCTTTGTCTGTTGTGTGGTCTTACCCTACAATATTATCTTTACAGTTATATTATTTGTCTGATGAAATTCGTTTATGAACTAAAGGTCCTTGTGCTGCCTTCTTGATGATCATTCTAAATTTTTGTCATGTCAAAATTCTGTAAATGTATGGTTTACTATGTTTGCAACAATGATGGTGATCTGTTAACCTAGATGCTTTCAATTGACTGGAATTTCACAACACCAGGGCTTGGGACTTATGTGAAAAGGCTAGAATGGTTTATACTTGTTCTAACCAACTCTTTGTCGGCTGTCTGCATAAAGATTGGTATTTGATTTTTGTTTGTCATGCATATATACACTCTTAAGTGTTCAAAATATAATGAATTGAGCTTGTTTGAAGTTTTGAACTGATGTTCAGTTTTGTGCAATAGCATTTATTTCATGTAGATTTTAAAGATCTCATTTGTTATTGAATTTCTGCTCATCAGGTACCATGCACATTTGCTATTTGAGCGTCTCTCACCTCTACATCCTGTTGAACATATTCAAATCTGTAATAGCTTGTTCAGGTAAATCTAATGTATTTTATGTCTTTCACTCTTCTTTTGTTTTGTACTATGAGCTACTTGTGACTTGACTGAATGTGCTCTCATAGACATGCATGCACAAACAAAGTGCAGATAGGTGGATGATTGTGCATGGTTGTTTTTGAGTGCATTTGAAGAGTTTTAACTTGGCTTTCTCTAGCCTCCTTTTGCGCATACCCATTCTGAGCTTTGGCAGGGGTAGGGCATCTACTTTTTCTTTCTAATAATTATTCGATATTTGTGTCCAGGCTCATTGAAAAAACAATCTCTTCTGCATATGACACTGTTCGCCGAGCACATCTCCTAAGTTTTGGGTCTTCCTCAGGAACCAGTGTTGATGTAATTAATACAGAAAATTCATCCAGACATGGATCATTTGTTGACCTTCCCAAAGAACTTTTTCAGATGCTTGCTTGTGCTGGACCCTATCTTTATCGCGATACTTTGTTGCTTCAGAAGGTGCAAATTTTGTATCTTATCTTCATGTATTTGTTTTTTCTTTTTCAGATTTTATCTCCTTATAACTTAAGGATTGACTGATTCTATCTCATTTTTGGTGTAGGTATGTAGAGTATTGAGAGGTTATTACTCATCTGCACTTGATCTTGTAAGCAGTGGTGAACGAGTCGTGGATCCCAGTTATGTTTTTGTCGGGAATCCTCGTCTGCACCTTAAGGAAGCAAAGTCAAGGATAGAGGAAGCCTTGGGAACATGTCTACTTCCTTCTTTACAATTGGTACCTGCAAATCCAGCCGTTGGACAGGAAATCTGGGAAGTGATGAGTCTACTCCCCTATGAGGTTGGCCTTGAATCAAAGATATTTGATTCTTCACTTTTGAGAATTTATTTTGTATGGTAGACACTCTTGCTAGATAAATCTCGTCTGCTTAGGTGCGGTATCGTTTATACGGTGAGTGGGAGAAAGAAGATGAGCGCATTCCTATGGTTTTAGCCGCAAGGCAAACAGCCAAGGTACAACAAATATTTTTTTCTTGAGTCTTCCCTGCGTTCTGAATATGCCTGGATTTACACTTTTTTCATTGTTGTATGTTGCATGCTTAATGCCCTAAAACCATCACTGATACGTGTTCTATTTTTCCTCTTTATAGTTGGACACTAGAAGAATTTTGAAACGCCTTGCAAAAGAAAATTTGAAGCAGCTAGGTCGGATGGTTGCGAAGTTAGCTCATGCAAATCCAATGACCGTACTTAGAACAATTGTTCATCAGGTCTTGCCTTATTTACTTTCACTTTGTCTTTTGGAATCTTTGATATTTTGTTTTTTGAATTTTAGTGTTTGTGCACAAGCAATTGTTAATCTGTTGATATTATGTGCAGATTGAGGCGTACAGAGATATGATTACTCCTGTTGTAGATGCATTTAAGTATTTGACTCAGGTGTGAATTTCTATTTTGTTGTGTTAAATTTTTTTTCTTCATCTTTTTCCTTCCCTTCTATGACTACTGTTAAGACTGTTGATTTGAATGGGTGTAATCGGGTTGTATACCAGCTATCTGTTTTGTCCCTCCTGTTATCTTACTCAAAAGTGTTGTCCTCCATCATTGAAGTTGATTATGAGACAAAACCCGTGGTTTTGTAGGACAATTTGTATAAATTTTCTATGTTGGGCACATTAGGATACAGCACTGATATCCATGTGTGCCCATCTGTATCCAACTTTTATACATTTTTTTTCAAAATTACTTATATTTGGTTACTATTTTAAAAATTATTGACACTGTTCATAGGCTCTTGATTGACAGTAAGACAGCTTTGACACGTCTTCATACTAGTGAATTTCTTGTCAGTGTATACGAGGCGGTGGAGGCCTATATTTTGGTCTGTTCTACCTAAAAGATTATGTATGACGATTCCTTGGCCAGGCATCCACTAAGTGATCTTTAATCAAGCTTTTGATGGAATCTCTGCTCCTTGTAAACACCATATAGGAGTAGTTATTGTACTACGTCGTCATAGTTACCTTTTTGTGTTCTGAAAGACCATTTAGTGGAATTTAGAATTAGTTATACTTAACGTTTGGGGCTTAAGAATTACCAGGAAGATACTTGGCTGGAATAAAGTTCTGTTGTGATTTTATGAAGTAGTAGTCATAGCCAGTAATTTAATCAATAATCTTTTAGAGTCTTTAAGTAGGATCCTTGGAAATTACAATGAGTTTTTTTTTTTCCTTCTCCAGATTTGGCCTTCTGGAGAGATGGTTTTCAAGTTTAATGCCCTAAGCATGATATTTGGTGATCTAACGTTTGTGGTTGGTTCTCCGTTTTCCAGCATGATATTCTAGTGCATTTCTTGAGACTTTATACTCCAGCATGAGGAACCTTTCTTTGCAGAATAGCCTTCACTCTCTTTTGCTACTTTATGATGTTGCTTCTTGGATTTGGCTTTCGTGCGTGGGTGTATATATAAATGTTATATATACATATTTTTATGCCTATGCTTTCTTTGCTAATATTTTTATATGCGTGATTTCTGTCCAGCTGGAGTATGACGTTTTGGAATATGTTGTGATTGAGCGTCTTGCACAAGGAGGGCGTGATAAGCTAAAAGAGGATGGCCTTAACGTGTCAGACTGGCTTCAATCTTTGGCTTCATTTTGGGGTCACTTGTATGTCTTTTTCGTCTTATGGCTTCCATATGTGTTTTTGATACGCTTATTTGGAATTACCATAATTGTTTATGCCATATAGTAGTTGATATGCATTGGCCTTAGTTGTTCGCTTATTTTGGGTTTGTACAATTTGGTTACTCTTGAGCTTTATTTGTTTATTTTTGTTCATCCTTTTTCTTTTCCCCTTTTGACTTTTTGGCATTTATTAGAGTCATTCTGCATGTTTACACCATTATACAAAGTCTAGATATATACTTGGATACTTCACTTCAGTTTCCGGGTTGCAGATTAGCCTGGGATTGGGGAATTTATTGAGGAGTAAAGCTTTGCTAAGAAAACGGCTTTGGAGATTCCATTTGGAGGAGAAATGTTTATGGTATTCAGTGGTCAGAAGCAAATATGGGATAGGCCAGGCTGGGATACCAAGCTGGTGAAAAGAGGATCAAGTCGGAATCCATGGAAAGATATTTTTCAAGTACTCCATCCTTTTTTATCATGTTGCGAGTTTGGTGCTGGTAATGGTTTAAGGGTAAGTTTCTGGATGGATCTCTGGGTAGGGGAAAAGCTTTGCTAAGAAAACGGCTTTGAAGGTTCCATTTGGAGGAGAAAGCTTTATGGTATTCAGTGGTCAGAAGCAAATATGGTATAGGCCAGGCTGGGATACCAAGCTGGTGGAAAGAGGATCAAGTCGGAATCCATGGAAATATAATTTTCAATTACTCCATCCTTTTTTATTGTGTTGCAAGTTTGGTGCTGGTAATGGTTTAAGGGTAAGTTTCTGGAAGGATATCTGGGTAGGGGAAAGAGAACTCTGGGAAGCCTATTTCAAATACTGTTGCACTCGACATTAAAAGATTCAAACATTTCCAGCCTTGTGATTTGTTTTACTTCTCCATATAGTTGGGACTTTGGTTTCACGAGAAATCTGAATGAGGCAGAGGTGGAGGGGCTATCTGCATTACTGCTGTTAGAAAGTGTGCACCTTTCTCAAACTAGACTAGATTCTTGGAAATGAATGTTAGATCCTGAGGAGAATTTTGTGCAAGTACTTTGTCAGATTTCTTTATGACAAGCCTGAACATCTTTCCTTTCAGCCTTGTTGGCAGTTTTAGAAAGCAATGGTCCCATCAAAAGAGCAAATTTTGGCGTGGCCTGTGGTGTATGGTTAGTCAATATTTGTGATATGGTTCAGAGGAGGAGGCCTAATTTTTGTTGTTCTCCTCAATGGTGTGTTATACGTGAAGGAGGCGGGGAGAGTTTATTACTTTAAGTCTATGATGGAGGTTGTTCAGGGAAATAACTTTGAGTTGGTTTGTCCCAAGAGATTGTTATTCCTTACTGTCTGAAAAGCACAAAGTGGCTGGGAGGGGTAAAAAAGCTAAAGTGATTGGGGTTTGTATTGTGTTAGCTGTAATGGGGTGGTTTGCTGGGGACAAAATAGAAGAATCTTTGAAAATTTTGAAGGAGTGGGATCAGGGGAGCTCTGGGAGAAAAAGCAAAGTTTTCGGTCTTTCTTTTGGCCTTCAGTTCCAGTGGAATTCAAGGAGCCTTCATTTCATTCTATCTATTTAGATTGGAAGGCAACTGTGAGTTGATGGTTAGAGTTGTTAAACTCGGGTCTGTGGTTTAGTTGTAATTGTCTCACGTTGTAGCTTCTATTTGATCATTCTTGTTGAAATAAGAGTTTTTTTCGTTTCAACTGTTTTACTGTCGACTGCTTGTCCACAGATTGTAATTTCCTTTTCATTAATAAAAATGTGTTTCTTCTCTGAAAAAACAAGGCTGTATGAATGGAGCTAGGAAATTTGTGGACATTGAAAGGGAGACTTTGATTGATAGTCAGAAAATGTTCACATTCTAGATTGTCTGAATAGACAAAATAGATTCAACAGATGATGCTTGATTCTTTTTGTCTCTTTCATAGTGATGTTTTGTCCACCTTTCCTTGCTGTATGGATGATATAATTTCTAATCACCGATCTGAGGACATAGAATTATTTTTGCATAATTTAGTATAGCAATATGTTTATTTTGCATTTGAGATACTATTTATAATCGCTTAAGGAAGTCTTTTATTTTTTTTCATTTTATGTATTTTCGTCAGAATTGTGTCAAGTTATTCTTAAACTGTCACTTTGGTACGTAAATTTTTTGTTTCTTTTCTTGCTTTATCTCTGTTGAGTTTGACGATTTCTCTTTTTTAGTTGCTTCTGAATTTATAATAAAAATTGATAGATTTAGGTGAACAATGTTTAATTGGATTGGTTGTTCCTTTTTATTTTTCCCTTTGGTTTTATGATTGTTGTTATTTTATTAAAATTTTAATTTCTTACTGTTTTTTCTTTTTAGAGTCAAGTTTGTAATATGTGCTTTTAGCTTTTAAGAAAGCTGACCACCTCAGTTTTTTATTTTCTTAGGTGTAAGAAATACCCATCTATGGAATTGAGGGGCCTTTTCCAGTATCTTGTGAATCAACTGAAAAAGGGCCAAGGAATTGAGCTGGTTCTCCTTCAGGTATTTTCAACGTTCAATGGTTATACCTGCTATTCATATGATTTGTCCTCAAGCTTTGATAATATTGAATTATATTTCTATGATTATATCAGGAGCTTATTCAGCAAATGGCAAATGTCCATTACACCGAGAATCTGACTGAGGATCAGCTGGATGCCATGGCAGGCAGTGAGACTCTTCGTTATCAGGCAACTTCTTTTGGTGTTACTCGCAATAACAAGGTGCCTTGTAATGTTTGATTATTTTCTGTCATTCAATTAGGCAAGTAGAATAATCTTTTAGATGTTATTTTATCAATATTTGATATCTTATGAATGTTAAGTATGTTTTAATCTTACAATGTTGCATAACTTGTTAAGTTTAAAGCAGTAATGCATGTTATGGATTTTGAGTGCCTAACTTTGAAGATGTTAATGTTGATTTTAATAATGTTACAGGCATTAATCAAGTCCACTAACAGGCTAAGGGACTCGCTGCTCCCAAAGGATGAATCGAAGCTGGCAATACCCCTTTTGTTACTTCTTGCTCAGCATCGTTCTGTGTAAGCTGTACAGCTTATTTGCTTTCATTTGTTATTTGATATCCATCATCATATTGCTATATGATTCTTTTCAAGAAACATTTATGTCTGTTTGTTCCAAAGATGATTGGTTGCAAGGTGTCTTGAAGTTGTTTATGGGCTGGTTCATTCTGTAGGTAGACCTGTTCTGTAGTCTCTTTTTTTTTCTTGGTTTGGGTGTGTATTAAGAGGAACAGCCAATGGCATTTATCAGTCCTTTTAGGGGATTTATGCAATGCTTCTAACATCCTGATAAAGCATCCGTCTTTTGTGTTCAGCATGAAACAATTTTGATTCTGTGGATGAACTATGGGGGCACTGTTTTATCTGAGGCAAGCTCAGTTATGTACTGACGAGATTCCTATATTCTCTGCAGGGTCATAATAGATGCTGATGCACCTTACATTAAGATGGTTAGTGAGCAGTTTGATAGATGTCATGGAACTCTCCTTCAATACGTGGAATTTCTTTGCAGTGCTGTGACACCGACATCAGCATATGCTCAGCTAATTCCTTCACTTGATGATCTTGTCCATCAATACCATCTTGATACTGAGGTCTCTCTCTCTCTCTCTCTCTCTCTCTCCCCCCGTTAAGTGCTTTGATTATCTAGTTATTTTAATTATTTTCTTTCATCTGTACTTAATCACAGCACCTAATTTGTAAATTCTCATAATAGTGAACTTTGTATCTATTTATGGTTTAAGTGTTTTTTTTTCCCTGAAAAGTTATGTCTACCTCAGTGGCTTACAGTTTCCACATAACATAAATTGTGTACCTGAATAGTCTGTTAATTGTATTTCCTCCATGACATAGGTTGCTTTCTTAATTTATCGCCCTGTAATGAGGCTCTTCAAGTGCCGTGGGAGTTCCGATGTCTTCTGGCCTCTAGACAATAATGACACTCAGGGTATCACCTCTGCAAATTCAGAGTCTGAAGCTGCTGAGCATTCTGGAAATTTGGTTCTGGATGTTGGCTCTCCATCAAAGCCCGTAACGTAATTTTTCTAAAGAGTACCGTCTGGTTTATTGCATTTAGACATCTCTTGATGTGAAGCTTATTCTTGTCTAGTTACTTTTGACATACCCTTTTTTCTAATTGTGTTGTGTTTCTTTGCTGTTTTTATCTAATTGTATTAGGTGGTTGGATCTTCTTAATACTGTTAAAACGATGTTGCCTCCAAAAGCCTGGAATAGCCTCTCCCCTGATCTCTATGCGACATTTTGGGGTCTCACGCTCTATGATCTTTATGTCCCTAGAAATTGTTATGAGTCTGAAATTGCGAAACAGCATGCTGCTCTTAAGGCTCTGGAAGAGCTTTCTGATAATTCAAGTTCAGCAATAACCAAAAGGAAGAAAGACAAGGAAAGAATTCAAGAATCCCTAGATCGCCTGACTAGCGAACTCCGAAAGCACGAGGAAAATGTCGCATCCGTTCGTAAACGTTTATCTCGGGAGAAGGACAAATGGTTGAGTTCTTGCCCTGATACTTTGAAGATCAACGTGGAGTTCCTTCAGCGTTGTATATTTCCACGCTGTACTTTCAGTATGCCAGATGCTGTCTATTGTGCCATGTTTGTGCACACTCTTCATTCCCTGGGGACACCATTTTTTAACACAGTCAACCACATTGATATTCTCATTTGTAGAACCTTACAGCCTATGATATGCTGCTGTACTGAATATGAAGTAGGTAGATTTGGGAAGTTTCTGCAGGAGACGTTGAAGATCGCATACTATTGGAAGGTGAGACAACTTTATGCTTTTTGGTGGTTTAGTTTTTTTAATCCAATCATACATTCAATCACACTGATCATAAGTCCTGGACATATAAGAGGGTCTATTCTTGCTGAACCATGCTTTTTTCCAGAAGGATGAATCTATTTATGAACGCGAATGTGGAAACATGCCTGGCTTTGCTGTATATTATAGACATCCAAATAGCCAGCGAGTTGCCTATTTCCAGTTCATGAAGGTGGGTCCATGGCCTTTTATGTCTAAAATTAACTTCTGCTATACCAGAAGTCACTAAGCTTAAACTGAATACTACAGGTCTTCATGTAGAGGTCTTTTAGTTTTCTTTAAAGGACTCGGCTAAATCTTGTCCTCCCAATTAGTTATTCTGTTTCTCTATTCTTTTGTTTATGTATAAACATCTGTTTTATCTGTGTACTCTGCGTTTCAAGTTTCAACTGTATAGTTCAGTTGGACACTTGAACCTTTTCCAAAGGAAGGGTACTTCGTGATTGATCTTATAACCTCAACTATTCCATGGCCATTTCATCCATGTCATGGAGTTCTTGCTTGGACAGACTTTCAATTTTCAAATTGTTTAGGGCATGTTTGATAACCATTTGTTTTTAGTTTTAATTTTTTTGTTTGAGAGGGAGTGGGAAATATAAGGCAGAAGAGAGAGATGAACAAGGGTGGATGAATGGTGGTGGGAAGGAGGATGTGGAAGAAACGTAAATGGCACACAAAATGAAAACTAAAAACTAAATCTGAAAACAATTTTAAGTAAGTTTCTTTTCTTTCTAGTTTCTGTTTCATACATTCCCCTTCGTTTCTATCTCCTTCCTCCCATCAATCTTGCTTCATCCTTCTTGATTTGCCTTTCCCCCATATACTTTCCCTCTATCCCTAGCAAGAAAAGTGAAAACTAAAAACCAAAAACAAAATTGTTTTCAGTGTCTGATGTTTTCATTCTTTTAACTTTCTTATAGGTTCACTGGAAGTGGAGTCAAAGGATTACAAAGTTATTGATTCAGTGTCTGGAATCAACTGAGTACATGGAAATTCGTAACGCACTCATACTGTTGTCAAAAATTTCTAGTGTTTTTCCAGTTACCCGAAAGACGGGTGTAAATCTTGAAAAACGGGTGAGAACTATTTTGAATAGCAATTTTTATTTAGAATTTCACTGGAATCATTATGCGCATCTTCCTTTTGACACCTCCCTTGCAGGTTTCCAAGATAAAGGCTGATGAGAGAGAGGATCTTAAGGTGTTGGCAACTGGTGTTGCTGCTGCTTTGGCTGCTAGAAAGGTTTGTCTTAAATTTTGGAACTTGCTTTTCAGCTCAGATATGAAGGTATTTAATTTTTTTTTATCTTTCCCATTTGCAGTCTTCATGGATTACAGATGAAGAATTTGGTAATGGATATCTTGAATTAAAGTCTGCACCACTTGCTTCAAAGTCTTCGGCTGGTAATTCAGCAGCCACACACAGTGGTTCTACCATTAATATTTCTCAATCTGAACCTATAGGAGGAAAAGTGGGAGCCCTTCCCTCCCAACACCCAGAATCATCAAACTCAGTCAAAGACCAGATTCTGAAAACCAAAACCTCAGATGGGAGGTTGGAAAGAGCAGAAAGTATCTCAACTGTAAAATCTGATCAAGGGCATCTAAAACTTAAAGGTGGCTCATTGGTGAGTGGCTCCGATGCTCAGTCACCGATGCCCTCAGCTGCTTTACAATCTGGAACATCAAGATCTATGGAAAATAAAAAACAAGTGAATGAATCCTCAAATAGAACCTCAGATGAAAACATGGGAAAAGCTGCCCCGAAGAACTCTTCTGAATCTGAGGTATTATGTTGACCAAGAAAAAAGAACTTTTCTGTTTAACTATTGTATCATTGGACATGCTTCATTCCACTCAAGCTGTAGTGTAATTAACACCGGGATGACCACTTTTATTGGAAGAAACTAAGGGTATGGTGGCAAAATGCATTTGGCACTCATGTGGATGTGTAGGAGACAAGCATTTTTAGTTTAGTCTTATTTTCATTTCCTTCATTTAATCCTTCTCGACATCATTTTTGTCATGTTCGCTAAATCAATAAACGATATCAAAGTAGTATGTGGTATTTTGCATATGGGTGATGGAGAAGAATGATATTGAAAATACTTGTTAAACACTCGAGACTGAAATCACCCCACAGAAGTTTGTAGGGTTCTGGAGTAGCTGATAGCTCTCCGAAGCTCCAGAATTAAACTTAAATGCAACTGATAAAAGTCAGATGTTCTATTGATCTATATAGTTTGTTTTTATATTGATCATTAGAGCATCTGCAATCATGTTGTATCCCTTCTACGGACCAAAACATCTACTACTTGAGTTTGGGATGAATCTTGACCTAGAATCTCACTCTGTTGTGGTGCTTCTTGCAATTTTCTTTCCAAAGCCTGGTGCCTATTCCTGGACCCTGATGTTCACGAATATGGTATGTAAGTTTTTATGGCCAAAAGATAAAGAGCTAAATGTAATTTTTTAATGTTTATAAGAATGATATAGTTCCGTGGAATTAGTATCTCTGTTTGTCCCTGTTGGGCATTTCATTATGATGTGGTCAGTCATTTTCTTGCTATTGGCTTTTATCATCTTGCTTTTCTTTATTTTTTTCCTTAAAATCTGTTTTCCATTTGTTGACAGTTGAGAGCCCAAGCAAAACGGTCAGGTCCTGCTGGATTGCTTGCTAAGCCACCGAAACAGGATCTTGCAAAAGATGATGGTAGATCTGGAAAAGGAATTGGCAGAGATGTCTTGTGTCATGCATCAGCTGTGTCTACAAATGTTTCTCCTGCCATCGCAGCAAACGGTAATACAGTTTCAGCATCAGCTAAAGGTTCATTTGCGAAGACATCAGTAGAAATTCATGGTATTGAATCAAAGGTGGATGTTGGAGCTGCAAAGGCTTCCAATACAAGGGTTTCTGCTCCAAAGGAGGATGGTCCTGAAACTTCTGATGCACTGAGGCCCCATTCTTCTCGACTTGTTCATTCTCCTAGGCATGATAATTCTGCTAGTGCTTCAAAGTCTACTGACAGACAAAGTAAACGGCGGAAAGGGGAAACTGAAATGAGGGATTTTGAGGGCGAAGCTCGATTGTCTGACCGAGAGAGGTCTGTTGATGCTCGACTGTTGGATCTTGACAAATCAGGAACCGATGATCAAAGTGTTTATAAGGCCTCTGATAAGCCTTCAGATCGGTCCAAAGATAAGGGCAGTGAAAGACATGAAAAGGATTACAGGGAAAGGTTGGACCGTCCTGATAAGTCACGTGGAGACGATTTAGGTGAGAGATCCAGGGACAGGTCAATGGAGAGACATGGAAGGGAGCATTCAGTGGAGAAAGTTCAAGAGAGGGGTATGGATAGGAGTGTGGATAGACTCTCTGACAAATCTAAGGATGACAGAGGTAAAGTAAGGTACAATGATATATCAACGGAAAAATCTCACGTTGATGAACGGTATCATGGGCAAAGCTTACCTCCGCCACCACCCTTACCTCCTCACATGGTTCCACATTCAGTTAGTTCTGGAAGAAGAGATGAAGATGCAGATAGAAGGTTTGGGACCACAAGGCATACTCAAAGGCTTTCTCCGAGACATGATGAGAAGGAGCGTAGACGATCTGAAGATAATTCACAAGATGATTCAAAACGTAGAAGAGAAGATGATTTTAGAGATAGGAAGCGCGAAGATCGTGAGGGGCTGTCAATAAAGGTATGTATCAGCACTAGTTTATATTTTCATTTGGGGAACTTCCTTTCAATATGTCATATTAAGTGGTTCCTTATTCAGGCATTGTTAACTGGCCCCTTTTCATTCTAATTAGAACAGCGTATGTTGGTAATGATGCCTGAAATAAATGTGATTAGTAATATCTTGGTTTATAAAAGTATTTTGGTAATAGTCGAAAAAACATGTGCTTACGCCCCATATATTTCATGGGGTTGGTCAAAAGGCCTGGCTATTCATGAGTTGTGCAAGTTCACTAGTGTGTGGGACAATCATCTTTAGTAGCTTCATTATCACGGCAGGGGCTCTGTAACGTTTAGAGCTTTTTACATGGCACTATTCTTTTTCAATAGGGATTTTATGCCAGATAAGCTTCAGTATGCACATTGAGAAATAAACTTTCTATTCTTTCACTATGTCAAGTTGTGTACACAACCGCCGCTTCTTCACGAGCTTAATAGGTCTATTATCAGTTACTAATCAGTCTTTTTTTTATTTGTTTGCACTCCACGTCCACTATTAATTTCTCAATGTCCCAGGCTTTTTATGATTCGCTGCTTAGTAAATATCATGAGTGCACCTCTCAGAGAGGAGTTTAAATTTTATCTTTCTGATGCATTTATTGAGCTCAAACTTCAAATGGATTTCTCATTAGTTTCGTTGTATATTACGCATATGATGTTTATGCTTTAAGCTTTGCTGTATATAGGTGGAGGAGAGGGAGAGGGAGCGAGAAAGGGAGAAAGCAAACCTCTTGAAGGAGGAGACAGATGCAATTGCAGCTTCTAAGAGGCGGAAACTTAAAAGAGAGCACCCGCCTTCTGGGGAACCTGGTGAGTACTCACCAGTTCCTCCTCCTCCACCACCTCCTCTTTCTATTAGTTTGTCCCAGTCATATGATGGAAGAGATAGAGGAGACCGGAAAGGACCCCCTGTCCAGCGTGCAGGGTACTTGGAGGAACCAAGTGCGAGGATTCATGGTAAAGAAGCAGCCAGCAAGATGACTCGTCGTGACCCTGATCCGTATCCTTCATGTATATTTTTCATGTCATGGTGCATTACGTATAATAGATAATTGCTAATTGCCGACAGAATACACACATGAATATATTTATTGTCGTGAATTTTTAAAAGAAAAAAAAGGTGCCCGAATATGTTTACGATGAGCATTGACATGCATATATTGTTGGTCATTTCAGTTTCAGTTGTACAATTGCGTATTGGAAATTTGGACTCCTTAACCAGGTTGCAGGATGTATGAATGGGAGGATGAGAAAAGGCAAAGAGCTGAACAAAAGAGAAGACACCGGAAGTGATGTACTGAGAGTTTTCATTATCTACATGCTCTTGATGTAGTTCCCATCACTATCTAGTCTTTTTGGTTTGTAACAGATCTGTTGTAGTAAATTCTTTCATGGCGAATGGTCTTTCATCCGATGATCCCTTGATTGGGCAGTGATAGATTCATTCATATTCCGATGTACAATATTGTAAATTTCTTAAATGTGGCCACAAGTGTACAGAGAGTTGTTTTAAGTAAAATTATTAGGTTCAAAGGAAAACTTCAGATATTTTTAGAATTCTGAACGTCAGAATTTGAAGGGAATTTAAAGAATCCCAAATTTTTTGAATGGGAATTCAGAGAAATTTTTTTCGCCAAATACTTAAGATGATGCTTGGATCGTAATGGCTGTCGCTATGAATGGTGGTGTTTTTTTTTATAATCATGGCAGGCACCCTACTTGCTGTTTTCACATAAGGAAATTCCCTTTTGAGGTATCAAATTATTTTCTTAAAACCCCTTTTTGTTGATTTTTATTATGGTAGTTGTCATAATTTTTAAGTAAATGACAAAGTTAACCTCAAAGATTGGATTGAACATCCACTCTTAAGTCTAATAATTGAGGACACTTCTGTCATTTTAAGAAGTTTTTTAAATTACACCAACAATTGTTGGACGGAAAATTATTGGAAGGGAACAAATCGGAACCTCATGGGTGTTTTAAAACCTCACGGGTTCAATCAAAACACCAAAAATCTAAAGGTGTGTCAGTGTAAATATCTCACTATTATTTAGGTTACTGTTGCATGCTCTCTAGGGCTCGGGAACGCAACATCTTCCTATTTGTCTTGGAAAACGGGTGTATTGACATAGTTATAGCCAACAAATTCATAACATGAAGATATATGAATACTAAAAGGGGCGTATTAACCCAGCTTACTGGTGTATTACCATGACTTTTATGATTTAAGAAAAACTGAAAGGTGTTACTCTACAAGGAAGTTACGTTATTACTGAGTCTTGGGCTTGGTTGATTTAATTCATGAATAAAGCCATTAGACATTATGAATTCAGATTTATAGATTTGGATTCTCTACTTTGATTTTTTATGTACCCTCAAAACCCAAATTCTGAAACTCGAAGACCCCATTGTATTTTGATTCCCATGGTCATGAAGAAATTTGGTTGCATTGGAGTCATTGACGGCATAACTTTTTCAATGATCATAACATCCTCCATCTTGTCACTACTGCATCTTACTTACAACCACCATTGTCCTCGAGAAGCATTCATCAAGATTTCTTTTGGTTTCATGTGAAGAGTTTCAAAATCTCTCCAAAGTACTTGAAGTTGTGCACGTTTCACATTGGTTGAGCCTTGACACGTTTCTTCGTCGAATCTCAAATATTCCTGGAAGTATCCTTTGGAGAATGATCTCCAAAATGCGACATCCAATTGAGCAGTTGAATCCTTAACTTATATATAAATTGAGGAATTCCTCATGCATCTGAGAAGAAAGAGAAAAATAAAAACGAAGAGTTAAAAACCTTAAATAAGAACAGAGAAATCGTAGAGAAAATTCTATCAGAACTCCATGAGTTGTAGTATCACAAAAATAAATATAATTCCACTATCATATTTTGTGGTGCTTTTAGTTTATTTTAAAGATATTTAGTTATATACTTATTCTTAGCATTAATGATATAGATAAACCATTATATCATTTAATTTTTATAAACAACCCCAAAAAAACGTAAAAAATGACAGTTGACCTTATTGAATTTAATTTTGATTATTAAATTACTTTGATGAGGTTTTGGGGTTGAGTTTGTTTTAAGAAATTCATGGCAGTTGTATAATCTATAAGAAGTTAATATATTGTAAATAGACTTTTGGTGTGTTTCTAAAGTCCATTTCATATTGAATTTTTTTATAATTTGTGCATCTATATTGAGTATAATAGTGAATCTCCCATTATTTTACAACAAGACAACCCTTTTGTGGGTTCCCCGGGTTGCTTGGATCCTACGGAGCAAATCAAATTTGTAACTTGGACAAACATGGAATAGTGGATACACCGTTTATCCAGCGCAAACCCGCCCATGCTCATATAGATAGATATAAATATATAATATTCAAATATAGTGGAAAGGTGATCGTTATTGCCGAAGCCTCCATATCATCGGCATAACCGCCCATTTTTGCCACCAAGAAACGTCACTGGGAAAAGATGCTGCTGTGTCCTGTTGCCGTATGCCTCCCTATTTTCTTTCAAAGCCTCTGGTTGGTTCCTCAGATTCCGCAGGAAAACAAAAGAAAAAACAAAGATAGATTGTGTTGAGAAAGAAAGAAAGAATCATGAAGACGATGGGTGAGATTCTGAGTGCCTACTGCTCGGATGATTTCGATATGCAGCTGATAGGGAAGTTCTTGAGTTTTGCTTCAAGAGGTGACAGAGTTGGACTGAACCAGATGTTGATCAAAGGCATATCTCCTGATGTGCAAGACTATGACAACAGGACTGCTCTGCATCTCGCCGCAAGCGAGGGTCACACTCCCATTGTCGAGCTTCTTTTGTGCTACAAGGCAAATGTTAATCTCAAAGATCGATGGAAACGGACTGTAAGAACAACCAATAACTCATGTCACATTTAACTTCTCATTTGCTTTATATGCCTAGACATTCTTTTCTTAATTAGCATACCTCTATCGATTTCGATCGCTTAGCTATAACTCTTTATCTCTTTATTTGGTCACATATCAAGAATATAACATGTGATTACAAGTCCTTCAAAATGGATATTATAGTATGATTGAACTTATCTTGTCCAAAATTCATCATATGCTTAAGGATTTTGGAGCATACAGCAAGTTTGGCTCTTATGCTTGCCAAATTTCATCTCTAGCTCCACGAATTTAGATAGTGTCTGCAAAAAGTATCATAATTGGTTGAAATTATATGATCTTCGAGAAATCCCAGTAAATTTATATTGCTAAATGTCATTGGCAATTGTTTCCATACCAGTATATCTGCTTTCCATGCGGGACATGTCTTGTCCAGGTGTTAATTGATTGGACTGACTTATCAGAACAAAATAAATCATGTGTCAATAAAATCTGTCATGCTTTCTGCTGTATATCAATCCAAAATGTCTGAGTGGTCTATACAAAGTTACTGGTTATTATTACTCTGGTTCGTAAAGTTTACCTCATAATTGTAACTATATATACATAAGTTTTTTAAGGTGCTTTAATGGTTTACACTTTTAGTGATATCTTTCTGTAAGAGTCAAGAGTTCTTCTATACATAGTTGTTTACTGTTAACGATGCTACAATCTCTCCTCGCCGGTGTTCTTTGAATGACTTGTTAGGTATAATAGCTAGTAATTCTACTTTCTTTTTTCCTAATGTGAAGCCCCTGACAGACGCGAGACTCTATGGACATCGAGATATATGCAGGATTCTTGAAGTAAATGGAGGCAATGACCTTACCAATGATCAATTCGTAAGTGAAATATCACTATAGAACACACAGATGTACAGTGAAAAGTCCTTCGTGGGTGGAGTAAAGTGACATTTGTAGATATTCTGCTGTTGACTTCTCTTCATGCATTTTTTGCACAGACGGTTCGACATGAGCAAGAAGATTCAAATGATGTGAAGTTTGACATGTCAGAATTAAAGACAGAGCATTCATCAACCATTCAGCAGGTATACCAAAGTAAATGGGAGAGAGAGGCAGAGATCATTTGATGTGTTGACCTTAAATTGCTTTCATTTACTAACCTGCAAATTTCCTATTCAAAGAAAAAAAAAACCAAAAATCTCATCTTTTGATGAACTCTACAGATAAGGAACTAAGAAATCAAAGCAGGTATCATCTTATATATATATGGTTTCTATAACCATTAAAAAAATTGATTTCTTTAAGAGAAGCAGAATTTTATTATTGTAGACTATGGCATGTGAAAAATTCTTACTTCTGCGACAGTGTGTCTACCTAGCAGCTTCTCTATCTGAAATACTCTTGTTTTCTTAATTTTTCAGGGCTCATTCAGTGAATCCGAAAAGGTCAAGTGGCGTGGAACCTGGGTTGTCAAAACTGTTATAAAGAGACACATATGCAATCCTGTAAAAATGTATGCTTGATATGGACTTTTTTTTTTTTTTTTTCTTTTTTCTTGGCCTCTAGGTTTAGTTATTTGTTTAAGCCAGTAAATTTAGGTTAAAACTTTGGACAGTGTTAGATAACAATAGCTTGCTGCTTCAATCTTGATACAGGATTCTCTCTGCTAAGGACAACACTCGCCTCCGGGAACTTAGACATCCCAATATTTTGCAATTTCTCGGTTCAATTGTGCAGCAAGAAGAGATGGTTCTGATTACTGAGTATCTACCAAAAGTACATTGTGCTATGTCCCAATCATATGTTCTTACTAGATTGTTGTTAGTGGTTTTGATCCATCTTACATATTTGGAAAATTTTATTTATGCTTTCAAATTCTCAAAAAAAAATCTTAAAAAATGTGATCTTTATTGAACAATTAAACTAAGAATGAAATGAAACCACATGGACATATGGAAAGCGGTATTCTGCCACTTTTGATTCTTGTTCTTGCCAGTTTCCACAGTCCAAGTAATTTATGCTCAAGTGAGCACATCATAAGAAGTAAAAGGACATGTTTACTGTCATTCAGCCATCTCAAAAAATCTATTTTTCTAGTATACATAGGAAGAAAACCATATGCTATATTGTATGAAGTGCAGTAAAAGCCATTCTAGTATAAGGTATAATTCAGTAATTTTATGTTATCGAGGTCATCATTGTCAAATATTCTTTTCTGGATCATACATTACCATTCTGTCTGTCTGGAAATGGAGGCTAATTTTGAGATTCTTCGTATCTTTCTCGTTCTTTTTAGTTTTAAAATTTTTTACTTTGTGCTATTCTAGGGTAACCTGGAAGATATTTTGAGGCAGAGAGCTCGACTTGATGTGCATACTGCTCTACGCTATGCACTTGATATTGCTAGGTAACTGATTTTGGTGCTGTTCAGTAATTGGATTTGACATGTGAAGGAGTTCATGTCCCTTCCATGTATCAGAATTATTTCTATGCAATGTTCAATGCACATGCGTACTACGAAGAATATTATTTGTATTGTTAGTATTGGAAAGATTTTAACTCCTACTCCTAAAGAGTCTTTTTCCAAATCATTCTCCTCCTCCCTTAATCACATTGATGATGACTCATACTTTGTAATTCAGTACTTGCTCTTCAGAATGCTCGTCTTGTAGCGTACATGCTGAGTATAAGTTTCCAGAATTGTATCCCATCTGCATTCTACACGCTTCTAATTCGTA